ACGACCCTCAGACCGCGATAGAGGACCGATAATCGAAGTGCGAAAGGCAGTTGAAAACTCCAAGCACACAATGCCTTGGTCAGCAATAGTCACATAGTCGCAAAGTCTTTCGCTATGTTAGAAGCCGCCTTTGTTGCCAGCGCAGAATTGTCCGAATGTAGCGAATCAGCGTATGTCAATTAATTTAATGACCTACAGTGATTACAGTCTCGAAATTAGAATTCTGCTAATCTGTAAACACAGCAGGAGAAGTTAACCGTTTTGTTGCTGCAGTTTTTCGGAGTAATCCCAGACGACCACTTCGAGCAACTGATCGAGACGGTACTGCCGGATTATCGACTCTTCAAAAGACTTGATCATGTCGTGCCATGTCAAAATCCTGCAAGCTCGACCTCAGCATTTTCCTTCGTATATGATAGCGCACATCACGCTACCAAAGCAATTATGAGTTCTTTTGATATGCTGTAACGCGCTGTTATGGGACGGATACGAAAAAGTGTTTCAGCTTTATCTGGTCGCAAAGATTTTTTAAACTATTTCTTACATGAAAAAAAAAAAATTAAAGTTTGAGATTCAGCAAGCCCTGTTGTAGAATAACAGCCCCAGCTTGCTTAATAAATGTGTGCTACAAAAGGGCACAAGCGTTTTAAAATCTATCTCCAGATCATTCGTTCAGTACTATGTCTGTTTTGAACTAAAACAGAAAATTCGATCTTGCAGCTCACCTGATCCAAGAATCTGCAGCAGTGAATTAAACTGGAGTGTGGGATCACAAGTTAAGAAATAGTGATTTTTAAAGACATGCGAATAACCATAAGCTTAAGTTTACGATTTTTTATTTGCCCCATCGTGGAATCAGAGAACTAGTGTAATTCAGCAACAGAGATCACTGGATAGTGCAGTGAAATTAGATGGCTAGTAATAGGACTTTTAGCTCGCATGTGCAAAGAACTGAGCATTTAAAGTTTAATTTTGGGTTCGTTCTCCAGTAATAAACTAGCCCAAGCCTGAGTTTGAAGTCAAAGGCTTGAGCTCAAAAGGAGTGAGCTGGATTCAGGTTTTAGTGTAGCACATGCTCGGGAACTTTGGCTTAAAAATTTCGAGCTTTTAAATTTTTGGTTCAGCGATTTATAAAATTGGCGAAAATTTGTGCTTAAGAACACAAATCAGGCTGCAAAGAGATATATTGGTTGTACAGAAGATTATTTTTGATTTCCAAACTTTTCATTTTTCTCCTTCAGCAGTTTCGAAGTTGAAATACTTGGGCAGACATTCGCAGACCCGTGCACACACATACATGCATACACAAACATTTCTAATAATTCAGTTCCACCAAAAAATTGTTTAATCTATCTTGTTAAAATTGGCGCGAGTACACACTTCTGGAACCAAAACTGCCATTAGCTTTTAGCTTTTTGCTAGGTAACTCTTGGAAAAGAGAGTCATCGGCAACAGTTTTGGTAATAGATTAGCATTGTACGCTCTGGCTACGTTAGAGTGCTTTTACCTGTCCTAAAAAGTGAAGTATAGAGCGATCTTTGAATTTATCAAAGTCGTTGTTGGCTTTAAACTAATACCACGAATTAAGCAAGTATGCTTTTCTGGTTTCTCTACCATTAGCAGTATCTGATAAGAAGCGCATCGCACCTGATATTTGTAACCATTGACTTGACATATCTTGCGATCTTTGCTAGATGCATTGCAGCAAGATGATCCCGGTTCTTTTTTGGATGCATTGCTAACCACTTGCGATCTTTCTCACATTCACCGAACTGTAATACAAAATTAATTAATACCTAATTTCTTAGGATTAACGTCGCACAGCTTTTTTGTTCCAAATTAATACTTGTTCATTTTCATAACTACTACAAGTACTAGAGAAGTAGCAACCCAGTCAATGTCAATGTAACGAAATCTCTACTTTTGCCGCTGTCTGCAGTTTGAAAAAATTTTGTTCAGCTATTATAACTCAGGCTGGAACGCACCGGGTGGGCCCGTGAGATCATGCGTTTTTGCACCGCATTTGAAGTACTCAGATCACTAATTGCACGAATAGTTTTTGCTATATACCTATCTTTCGCGGCCAGCAGCATAATTCACCATAAATTTTACATAAATGTATAGTTTCCATTTAACGGCCGACCTTTAAAAGTAACGTAGCTGTTCAGCGAGAAATTTTTCCGCCAAAACTTTAAGTAAGAATCACGCACACCTCAAGGCTGAGCCCGTAAGTATGAACTATGCACATATCAAGGCTAGATTTGAAATAAGTGGTACTTGGACAGAGACATTACCCTAAAATTTCAGCTATCTAGCTCTTCTGGTTCCCGAGTAAGTAATTTTCCCGCAAAAACTTTCATACGCCCCTACGTGAGTACCACGCACATATGGGAGCTGAATTTGAAATCTTTAGCTCACAATGCACAGGGAATATCACTGCAAAGTTTCAGCCCCTTACCTTGTCTGGTTCTCGAGATAGCTTTCCCGCCAAAAATTTGCATGTTTTTTGAAGCGTCCGTACACTGCACGCAGGGGCCCGCGGGGGACGATATTAAAACGAGAGGGTCGCGCTTGGCATGGGCAAATAATCCCAAAGTTTTAGCCTTCTAGCTTTTCTGGTTCTCGAGTTGAAAGTGGGTGACAAAAAGTGTGAACACACAAACACA